TGAGGGAGGGGGGAGCGGGGAGGGAGGGGAAAAATGAGGACCTGATGCCGGGGGCTTAAGTGGAGAGCAAATGTTTTGAGAATGATAGGGCAGTGAATGTACAAATGTGCTTTACACAATTCATGTATATATGGATTGTGATAAGAGTTGTATGAGCCCCTAATAAAATGATTTTTTTTAAAAAGGAAAAAAAAGGATGTTTGCAAGAGTGAAAGGGAACAGAGGCAACTGCTGTCATATACAGTCCTGGCATAATGGCAGTCTATATGAGTAGACACTTAGACATAGACACTTAGACACACAGGCTGAATAACAGGTGTGGGAGCGAGGATGGGAGAGTACACACACGTATGTAAATTTGTAGGTATATTTACTTTTGCTTAAACTATATCCATGAGTAGAACATTCAAGGGGCAAAGTTATAAAAACTTCTTAGATGTAACCAAACACCTTAAGGGAATGAGTACAAATACCTTAAGTAGAATCATAGTCTCAGGGGACACCAAGGTCAATTGGCATAACAGTTCACAGAGACAATGTTCTACACCTTGCTTTGGTGAGTAGCAACTAGGGGGTCTTAAAAGTTCAGGAGCAGCCATCTAAGGTCCACCTATTGGTCTCATTTGGAGGGAAGAAGAGCGATGAAAATCAAAAGGCACGTGGGGACAATTGTAAACAGCAGTCTCCAGAACCCTGAGCCAGAGTCAGTCACCCTTCAGGTCTAAATGGAACTGCACCCTAGTATGGGTCTCAACTACCTAAGAGTAAAAGACAGAGGTGGGAAAGGAGAATCAGGAAGCCCAGAGAGGAAGTGAGAAAAGCAACTGTGCATTGAGGGGATTGGAATGATTTAGTTGTAACGAAATGTGTCTAAATTATAGCATGTAGAACTGATTATTTGTTCTGTAAACTTTTACTTAAATGACAATCAAATGGTTAAAAAAATCTTTACAGGCGTGCGCAACCTCAGAAAACAGAAATTATAGAATGACTCAAGATATATTTTACACTACCCTTCCCTCATTCAGATAATAAAAACAATCTAATTATTTTTCATTTTATGGGGGCTCATATAGCTCTTATCACAATCCATCCATCCAACCATCCATCCATCCATTGTGTTAAGCGCATTTGTACATTTGTTGCCATCATCATTTTCAAAACATCTTTTTCTGTTTGAGCCCTTGGTATCAGCTCCTCATTGTTTACCCTCCCTCCCTCAAGAACCCTTCATAATTTATAAATTATTATTATTTTTTCATACACTGACCAATGTCTCCCATCACCTACTTTCTGTTGTCTGTCCCCCATGGAGGGGGTTATGTGTAGATCATTGTGATCAGTTCCCCTTCTCCTCCCCCACCTTCCCCTGACCCTCCTGGTATGGCTCCTGCCATCTATCGGTCCTGGACTCCCTGCGTTCCAGCGCTTATCTGTGTCCGCGTGCGTGCTCTGTCTAGCTGATAGGAGCATAGACTTCACAGCTCATGTTTTGGGGAGGTAGGATATTATTCAATCTGTGACAGAAACACATTTTTATTTAATTATTTTTTTTCACTTTGGAATACTTGAAGTCTTTGTAATAATTAATGAAGTACATGTTACCTTTTTTTTTAAGTTAAGTTTTTTTTTTCACATTGGAAATAAAATTTGAATTTTCCTCAAAACATCTTACTGATATTTATAGTAATCTTAATTATTATTATAAATTTTGTGGTAGTAAATATGCATAACCTTAATGATTTTTAAGTGTAATGCATTAGATACACTTACATGTTGTGCAGCTATCCTTACTATTTCCAGAACTTTATCACCTCAAACAGTAATTTTATACCATGAAGTAACTCCCTGTACTCCCTGGCCTCCAGTCCCTGGTCACCTGTGTCTGCTTTCTGTCTTCATGAATTTGCCTATTCTAGACATTTCATGTAAGCAGGACCATACAATAAATGCCTTGTTGTGTCTGGCTTATTCCATTTAGCTTAGTGTGCTCAAAATTCATCCATATGGCAAAATGTATCAGAGTTTCATTCCTCCCTGTGTCTGAGTAATATTCCATTGCATATATGTACACAGTTTGCTGATCCACTCATCTTTTGTTGCACACGTGAGTTGTTACCACCTTTTGGCTGTTGTGAATGATGGTTCACAGACATTGGTGTAAAGTATCTACTTGAATCCTTGCTTCCAATTATTTTGGTTAAAGAACCAGGAGTTGAGTTGCTGAGTCATTGGGTAATTATTTGCAGAAGCACAAAACTGTTTCCCACAGTGGCTATACGTTTTACATTCCCACCAGAATTCTGGAAGGTTCCGCTTTCTTCTTGTCCTCCCCATCAAGTCCTTGGAGGCACACAATTTTCAAATTTTGATGAATTCCATTTTATCAAAATGTTCTATTGTTGCCTGTGCTTTTGGTGATATATTTAAGAAACTATTGCCAAATCCAAGGTCCCAATAATTTATCCCCTGTTTGTTTGTTTCTTTCTGAGTTTTATAGTTCCAACTCTTGAGTTTAGGTCTTC